ATGGATCCCGGGCCTGGGAAGTGCTGGCCGTTTCCGCCACGTGTTCTCTAGGTTCACCGTGTCCCCATTGTTTCAGCCGAGCAGGACTTCCTTTTTCTGATTGATTAGACATCGTGAGGCCACACGTTTTCACAGTCCATTGCTGAACAGCCAACTGTCAGGCAGCGAGAGGGTCTCTGGGACCACATTACTTAAAGCCTTTTGTGTTTGGTTCCCCAAAGATGAGGCTATGGGGTTATTTCTTGCTGCCTGTTTCCCTGTGTCCTTCCTACACGTCCAGCCTATCAATGTGTAAGTCTACCCCAGAGATGTCCGTGGAAGGACAAGGTGGAAAATCCCTTCTCTGAGCATGCCTGTTTGGCCTGTTGTGGAAATTTCATTTTTAAATTTTGAACTGGATCTATAGATAATATGGCTGTGTCTTCATATTTCATCTCAAGGTGGAAATTTAATATTTGTGTTTGACTATTCCTTGGATATGTGTAAAATATAGATTATAGTTGGACTTAATAGATATACAACATTCAGTGCTTCTTCCTCTAGTGAATTTTTAAGGGGATATTCAGCCAATAGGCAGAAAACACACTTTTTGTGAACGGCCTACATTATTTGCATACTGACAGAAGAAGGTGGGTTCTAAGCCGAGTCGCCCCTGACTCAGGTCAGAAGCACTGAGGCTGGCATTTAAATTATGCCCATTGCCTATTGTTTCCTTTGTCCTTTGATTCTCAGCACAACCGGTTTTTTTCTCTTGAGCCTGTTTCTTGACACGTGTCCCCACACAGGCTGGTTAGGATGGTCTGGCTTCCTCATGGCTGTGAGCTCCTCGAACCAAGCTCAGTGCCTGGTACCTGGATGTGGTCAATGCCTGTCTGCAGGTGGCTGATGGAACATTTTGGCCTACAGACAGGGAGGTCTCTGCTTTGTTTCTGATGACACCAATGGCATGGATTAGTCTTGTCTGATTTATTACCATCATGGGAAACCCGTGTTAAGTCCCTTTGACAAAAGGGTAGACCTCCAAAGCAAAAGGTGAGTGTGGAGAGTCCATGGTAGGTTCTGAGTCAGTGCACAACATTCTTGGAAGTGTAGAGTTTGGAGCTCAAGATGGGTTTTTCAGATGCATGCTTGCTCATAGGAGTGAATGAACAAATAAATGTGGCATGGTCACAGAACTTGAACTCTCGTTTTCTCTGTTTGAAAGGAAAACACCCTCCAAGTACACAGATAATTGTTAGAGAAAATATATGGAGAACAGAAACATTATCAAGAAACAGCATATTCCTTCATAACCAACAAAGTGGTGGACCAGTTATGCTGCAGTCTGTGTTAGAAGGTGGGCAGTTCTGAATAGACTCCTACCTCCCCACCCAGATGTGGTTAAAGACAGACTCATGGGGTCTGTAAGAATATACTGACAACTGCTGAAGCGGCCCATTGTATGCAACCTGAATTTCTTTGTCTATTCAAAACTTTATTTAGTTTAGTTTTAATTTAACGTAATTTTTTTTAATTTTTGGAAATTGACTTTTTTTTTGTCCGGGGCTGGGTTTGAACCTGCCACCTCTGGCATATGGGGCCTGCGCCCTACCCTTTTGAGCCACAGGTGCTGCCTCTAAATTGACTTTTTAAGAGAGTGAAATAAGGGCGTTGTTTCTCCTGCTCTTTGAGGATGTGTGTGTAGAGAGAGAGAGAGAAGGAGGCCAGCACGTTGTTGAACAGCAAGAAGGGGACAGAACATCTCTTTTATCCCAAAGACGGACTTGCCTCTCCCCACTCTTCTTCCCCCTCGGCTTAACGTTTCCAGGATTTCCAGTTCTCTCTGCCAGCAGTGTCGCTAGAGCCACATCCAGCGATCACCTTGCCCAGAGCTTGTTAGGTAGGGCTGGGGCTCTGGCCAGGGATTCCGTGGCGCCCGTGGGGGTGGGGTAAGGAGTGGGCAGAGCCTTGAGAAGGCGGGGCTGATTAGTGGGCAGTCGGTCACAGGTGCGCTCAGCGCCCCGCTTTGCGTTGAGGCAGCGCATGCGCCATGAGGTGCGCAGCGCCTTTCGGGCTGAAGACCCAAGGTAAGCCGCGCAGTGCGCAGAGCGGGTTCATTCCCGGGAACGTCAATGGATCTCAGAGATAAGCTTTCTGAGACATTTCTAGCCGTAGTGGCAGCTTCTTCAGCCAAAAATAAATGAGGAGTAGCCAGAGGACAGGAAACAAAAACAAACAAACAAAAAACCAAAACAGAAACGGAAGGGGGCGGGGGAATGCAGAGGTGAGATGAGGGTTTGCACCGGGTTCCTGTTTGAGAAAATAGGATTCCTCATCGGGGGCAAGGCATGGCTTAGGGAGAAAAGTGAGAGGTGAGAGGCAAACGGAGAAGGAGCCTGCAGATTGGAGCAGAGATCAGAGGAGAGAGGCTGAACAGAGGGAAAATGAGTCTAATTTCCAATGGAGCTTATTCTTCAGAATAGGGACATTTTTGTGGGACGCTCGGGCTGATTTCAGGGCAGGTGAGTCTTTGAAGATCCAGCTATCCTGAGCAAGTTCATCCTTCTGTTCTCTTAAGACAGGACATTCTCTGAGGCTTGCGATTCCGAAACAGGGGCAGGAGAAGGACATTGCTTCGGAATCTGTGCAAATATTGCATTGATTTCTTGTTCAATGCGATGTCCTACTCAGTGACTGAATGAAGGAATGAATGATTGATTCCTTGGTCAAATGAGATTAGAGGATGGTGCATATTCACTCTTCCTTTTGGAGAATTACACAACAAGCTTTGAGAGGTCCCATTATAAAGGAATTTATATAACACAGATTTTTATTTTTTTTCAAACTCGACTGAGGGCAGCCCTGCAATCTTGCACACAATTTAGATTATGTGAATAGCAACTCCTAGGTTAAATGATCTGTACAGCTGTATGAGGTAGCCCTTGCTGGGGGCTTTAAAAGTTTTTTTTTCTTTAAGTAATAACTATTAACATCTTCAGTCTTGCATTCTGTGGGACACAGTTTGGGAAACACCAGATTAAGATAATAATCTGCTCATCTTGACTATGCTAATGACACTAGTTTCACAGCAGTGCTGGGGCAAAGAGTCTGAGTGGGCTTGATTTGTGTCTATTCACTAATCCATCAATCCTGCCTGGAACCCACAAAATCCTTTTGCAAGATGGTTTCCTGAGATAAGGATGCAGCCTGTGGTCACAGAGGATGAGATCATTAGCTCTGCAGGAGAATCCTGTCCACAGCCATAGTTTCCTTAGCTCCCTCTTTCAGGCCACTGGTTCCCCTGGACATTTGTTCTAAGTTAATTTTGGTATTGGCAGCTGGTGGTGGAAATGTTCTGAGGCCCTTTTACATGTTTAAAGGCCCTTGAGATGCGGTCCTGACTCTATAATCAGAAATTCTTTTTTTTTTTTTAAGAGACAGAGTCTTTGTCACCCTCAGTAGGGTGATATGACATCACAGCTCACAGCAACCTCCAGCTCTTGGGCTTAGGCGATTCTCTTGCCTCAGCCTCCGGAGTTGCTGGGACTACAGGCACCCGCCACAAAGCTTGGCTAATATAATCAGGAATTCTTGAAGGAAAGCATGTGTTTTAGGATTACCAAGGATTGAAAAGGACTGAGAAGATAGGTCTTCAGGACCCCTTTCCTGTCTCTAAGTAGTTGATTTAAATGCCTTCAGTTTCAGGGTTTACATTCTAGAAAAGTAGTTCCCAAACTTTGCTGCACATTAGAATCACCTGGGAAGCTTTTAATTTTTAATGCCTGGGTTACATCCTGTTGAATCAAATCACAGTGTTTGGGGTGGGAGCCTGCATTGGTATGTTTTAAAGATCTCTAGTAATTCCCATGTGCAGCAAACTTCAAAGGGGCACTGGTTCAGAAGCACTTTAATTTCCAGTCATTTTATTCAAACAGCTTTGTCTGTCTGAGAGAAGCAGGACAGGAATTCATTCTCATCCTCATTTTGTAAGTGATAGTTGAAGTCCTAACAAGTTAAGGAAGCTGATTAAAGTTGTATCAGGTAATTGAATTACCTAGGCCAAACCTGGTCTACCAGACTAGATTCTGGAAATGGTGGGATGAGAGATTGGGTGGGGGAGCTGGTCTTGGAAGCCTACTGGATTGAACATGGGCTTTGTGTCTGTAGGAGAAACAAGAAAGCCACTTGAACGTTATGCCCCCTGTCCCTCCACTGGTGCTGTGTGTGTCTGTCGACTGATTTGCATTTCATTTATAGGGAGACAAAATGGAACCTTTGTGTTGGAATCTAAGGAAATTACAAAAGCCCACAGCTCGTCCTCAGACTTAATGTAAATTCTTTGCCTCCTGAGTTTCAAGGCAGTCTGAAACATGCCTTCCTTTGGTTCTTTTTAAATAGCTTCCCATTCCCTGAATTATCAGGTATGAGAAAAATGCACCATTCTATGGAATTGTCCTACAGCCCACACGGGGCTGCTCTTGGGGTCTGATGAGTCACGGTGAGAGGCTCTGTACAAGCTGGTGGGTTATGTAAATACACATGGTGTGGAGACAGATCATTCACTAAAAACTGCGCTTCCCTGAGGCTTCATTAACTAGAAGCTTAGAAGCAGTAATGAAAAGAATGGTCCTCAACTCCGCAGATGAAGCCACCTCAAAATTTGTTGCCACTATCTGGAATGATTGATGAGTCCTATTTTACTTCTGGAGAGAGTGCAAACTTCAAACAGCCCTACAAATATGGAAGGCAAGTCCAGTGTCCTTTCACTGGAGGTGGATAGGCACAGGCTGCGGGGGGCCACTTGAGGGGCTCACCTGGGGTCTTTTCAGCTCTGAGGAAGGAATGTCCTCTGAGGGTGGAGTCATTGGACCCTCAGCAGACACCAGAGGACTTGGGGCCCCACTCCCACCCCCAGGTGCCTGCAAACTGCTTCCTTCTCAGGTCAGTTTGAGGAGTTTGTGACTAACAAATATTATTTTCCAAAAGGAATTTGGAGCTTTGATGTGATGAAATCTGTAAAAATGAGAGAGAGGAATGCTGCAAGAATGAAGATGGAAGAAGGTAGGGTTGGGAGCATGAATAGTGGGAGCTCCCGAGGTGGGGCTGGCTAAAGTTGGAGGATTTGGGAGCGAGTGGGAAAGTGCAGGGTTCCTAGGACAGTCACTCTTGTCGAGGTGCAGGGAATATCCAGTGGTTGGGAGTTGGGAGGCCTCCTGCTCTCCTCACCGCCTACTAATTTTGCTCCAGGCAGTTTTAGTTACCTCTCTACCAGATTCGGGGACATGCCCTAACCTGTGATATCTTTGCAGTTGCTTTGAAGGGAAAAGGATGACCAGTCCAGACTGTGCTTGGAAGCCTTGCTGGGGACTTTCTAGTGTGAGGCTTTGTCTCCCATCCTGCTTTCCTCAGGCAGAGTCATACATGACTCTTCCAGGGAGATGGAATCCTTCCATGGCACATTCTTTACTGACAGGTCTATCCCAGACAAGCTCTAGCTACTGGAGCTCCGAGACGCAGCCTGGGAATCACTGTATAATCTGCAGCTTCTCTTGATTATCCCTGTTTCCAGCATTTTTTACTCAATTCAGTTTAGAAATGGCAGGATGAATCTTTTAACCCCTCCCACCCCCGAACTCCTACTGAAATGGCCAAAGAAATACAGAATTAGGAAACACAGGGGAAGGTGGCAACTGCAGCAGAGAAGTTTCACAGCATTTCTGTTGGGTAGAATGAAGCTGCAAAGGGAAGCAGGAAGGACAGACCCACCAGGATTTGGGATCTGCAAAGGAACAGGCTGCTTGGTAAACTATGGGCTGCGTTTCTCGTAAAGCCTCCCTCCCCCAGATATCCAAAACTTCTGGCCATCAACCATAGTGAAAAGCTTAAGTGTTATTTATATATTTATTTATTGAGCCTGTTACGCTTGGGTTCAAACCCACCACTTGTTACTGTGCAAGCTAGTTAGCCTCAGCTTCATCCTCTGTTAATTGGGGCTAATACCCACTGTACAAGGTGTTTAAATGAAATAATAGAGCCAAAAGGTTAGTAGTTACCATTTCCTAATTACTATGAAACATGCTGTGCTAAAAGCTGTACCTAAATTATCTTTAATCCACAAGAAAGAGCTGTGAACACAGTCTGATTCTAGTTACCATTTTACTGACAAGGCCTCTGTTTAGAAGGGCTAGAATATTTGCTGAAGGTCCACGGTTACAGAGAGGGTAGGGTAGGAATTTGGAGTTGTCAGGTGCAGAGCCCATGATTTCAAGCTTTCCAGTACTGTTCTGAGCTCTTAAAATATGTCACTGTATTTAGTCCTTACAATAGCCTCAGAGTAATCATTTTTATTGGTAAAAAACAATAGAAGTTCAGGTCTGGCAGCAGTGGCTTATGCCTGTAATTCTAGCACTCTGAGAGGCTGAGGCAGGAGGATCGTTTGAGCTCAGGAGTTTGAGAACAGCCTGAGCAAGAGTGAAACCCCATGTTTACAAAAAATAGAAAAATTAGCTGGGCTTTCTGGTAGTCTCAGCTACCTGGGAGGCTGAGGCAGGAGGATTGCTTGAACCCAGGAGTTTGAGGTTGCTGTGAGCTAAGTTGAGGCCATGCTACTCTAGCCTGGGTGACAGAGTGAGACTCTGTCTAAATTAAAGACAAGTAAGGAAAAAAATAGAAGTTCGGGGGTAAAACAATTTGAGGCTTGAATCCAAGGCTCTGGCTCTTCATTACTTGCTACACTCCCTAGAATGTCATTCTGTCCTCCCCAGCTTTGGACTGGATTTTATTCCCATTGAATACAGGGGGTACATAATGGGAGTGGTCTGCAAAAGGTGGTACCAATTCCCTCCCACTCTCTGAAAAATTGAATTATTTCATGTGAGTGCATCTAAGTGGCTTGCATTTTTCTTTGCTGGTAGGACTCACAGGAAACATAGGACTTCCCCTGAATCTGATTGAAAAACATGAGCCCTGGCCGGCCTATGTCACGTATACCTCCCCGACAGTGCAAAGGCTCATTGAGAGAAGCAAAATGAGAGAAATGGAATGTGTGCGAGCTCTTGAGGAAAGCCGTCGGAAGCAGAACAGGCAGCACAAGCTTTCCAGCATCATTCAGCTGAAAAGGAGGAAGTCGCCCAAGTCGTCTGGTGATGCTCTGTACAGGGACACACTGTCACAAGCCACGTTATCAATGTGGAGCTCTTATTCTATAGCAGCCGTAAGTCCTACCATGATGCCAGAGCCCACCCACATACAAACAGAAGCCAGAGATGGTCCCACTGCAAACTATAACAAGATCATCTTCTCCCAAAAGCCCAAGAAGAGGACGCTTCAGTATAACTCACCAGCAGCCAGCAAGGAGAAGCATGAAGTGTTTAGCAAGGGGTCCCTGCAGCCGTCCCCCAGGAATGTGCCAGCACATTAGCTTCATTTGCCACAAATTTCATTATGTCCTTTAAATTTGAACTTGCTCCTCCATGCTCCTTCTACACAGAGGCTGGTGGAGAGAAACCAGATTAGGATGTGGGCCGTGAGTGTGCCCTCCAGCGTGTGGTCTGCTTGGATCGGGCAGTCCCTGCTGTTCTAGTCTCTGCCGTAGAAGCTTAGAATGTAAGTGTGGCTGAATTGTCTGATCCAGGCAGGGGACAGAAATCACACTTTCATATAAAGAATTATTAACCAGGAAACTGAAGAGAGCAGAAGGAAAACGCACAGGTATCCATGGAAGTAGCATCTGCAGGGAGCAGTTATCACCCCTAAGGCTGTGGGTGGGCCAGGGGGAAGACACTGGACTCATTAAAAGTTAAGACGCTTGGAGACCGGACCTGTGGGCTGAATCTCAGACTTCTGAGGTGGGGGAGTGGGGATGCCTCTCAGTTGGAGCTGGTGTCTCTGAGCTGCAAGGGAGTCCCCATGGAGATGGTGTCCCCACCTCTGAGCAGAGGGAGCTGTTTGGCTGGTGTCTCTGAGGAGTCACCGTGAGGCTGCTTCTGTGAGTGTGAGCAAAACCAAAAACTGGATTCATATTCTTCTGGAAGGAGTTGGCTGGGTGGACAAAAAGGGCTGTTAAGGGATGCCAGCAACTTCCTGGCAGAGATAGGAAGCCAATAGAAGGTGAACAGAATGCAGACAGGAAACAGGAAAGGAGCTAGTTCCTCCTTCCTTGTACAGCTTTGCAGAATCCCGCTGGTGCCCCCTATGGGCAGAGCTGTTCATGGCACAAGGCAGGAATGTGGTTTGCAGAAACCCAACCCCAGCATCTCCAAGTATAGGATGGATTTTGAAGCCAAGAGAAAATTAGCTTAATAACTACCACAGCACAGTTCTGAGAGAGCCCACCTGACTGTTCCACTTGGCACCTGAACCCAGTATTGAGATGTTTTTGCCTTGAGGGACTTACAAAGTGGCAGTGGGGGGGGGGGCACTGAGTGTCCCCTGCTGAGAAATAGAAGATTCTTTTCCTCTGTACTTTAAAGTCTGCCTTGTGGAGCAGAATTGGTGGGGTAGAAGCTCCTGGCTGAACCCCAGCTGTTATTTGTCAGAGAACAACTAGAATTGGTCCACCCATGCTCTGAGTTGGCTCCAAAGCAAACTATGCTGAAATCTTCACAATCTCCAAGCGGACAAACTTTGTCTTTAAGCGCAAAGGGGATCCAGTTATGACAAGCCAGCCCAGCCAGTCTCATGTTTGGGGTTTATCTACTGAGCATGGCTGACCTAACCTGACTGTGTCTGTATTTGCAAGACAGTTAATACCCATTTGGCTCCCCTCACACACGTAGAGCATGTGATGTATTAATTGATACAAGTGGCATTTTAAAAAGTTAAATTTGCCCTACAATGCGTTTTCTCCATCCCAGAGAATTGTGCAGATGTTTTCAGACACTTACAGGAGTAGTTTTGGAGAACTTGTCTCTTGCCCCTGTGCCTTGGTGTTGAGACAGCTGCACGAATTAGGGACCTGTTTCTGGGTTCCAAACCCATGGCCCAAATTATTATTATTTTTTTTTGCAAAAATACAGGTGGTTTCCATGGATTGTATTTTGTATCCCTGGAACATTTATAGACATGGAGGCAGGCAGAAGAGTCTGTCTTTTTATGGGTGTTATGGCCAAGGTATGCATTTGGGAAGGTGTGGCTTACAGAGCCTCATTGAGCATTAGAGTTTATAGGAATTTGGGCTTTAATAAGGGTTTCACAGTTGTTTTTTAAAAATTCTGTTTAATAAGTGTTCACAGTTTTATAAATAAAATTCTAGGCATTTAATAGTTTTTATAAAAATATATACTGCCTAAATTAAAATGAATGTTCTATGGATAGCAGTGTTTGGATTAATTTCATTCTTGGAATACAACAACACAAGCGTGAGCCCAGGACGTCATTAATACCTGATGTTGCGATGGAAATCGTGTTCTGTGACTGCTGTCCAGAAGCTTGACCTCTTGAAGCAGTATCAAGAAAGTCTAAATTTGTTTTGAAATGGGGAACTCTGCTCAAGTCCAAACCAGGATTCACAGGTCTGGCTAATATAGACACTTGGCCAGCTGTGATTATATGAATTCTCCCAGGAAGAGGCAGTTTGGCAAAATTAGCTGTATCTAGTAATGAAGCCCTGGTTGCTGAAGGACGAGGAGGATCCTGAGGGACCCGTGATGTCTCATCTTAGGTTTGTCTCCTGGTCCAGACCTTCCTGAGCACAGTATGGGTGGGGACCAGTGAGTCAGACTCTCAAAGGGCCCTTTCACTACAGTCCTGGAGGGCCCTGGGGGGACAAATGGGAGGTAGGGAGAGATCTCCCTGGCTTCACAGGGCATCAGCCTGGCTGTTCCACTGCCCTAGGGTGGGCGAGAAACAGCTAAGTCTAGTTGAGCCCAGTGTATGCTTGCCACAACCAGTTTTATTCATGAGAAACTGAGAGACATCCTTGGTGCTCCCAGAAATAGGCCTGGAGCCCCAGCTCGGCCAGAAGCATCCGGCAGGCAGTGCATGTGCTCTTGATGTGGCAACCTCTGCCGGCCCGAGTGGAGAGGCCTGGGGTGTCTCACTTGCTCTGCGCTGAACTCCATCCCTAAGAGGACCCTGGCTTTCTCTGAGGTTCCACAGCCCACAGCCCCTTCTCACTGATATCCTCTTCCTATGGACTGTTCCAGGAGAGCTGTTTAGTGAGTCTCCCTTACTGAGGTTGGTTTATGGAACAGCAGAGCACGTACCCTGTTAGCCCACCTGTGTGGCTGTGTAACTATGGCTGCGCCTGACACTTCCTCAGCAGCTGTTTCTGAACAGCTCTTTGCCTCCCTGCCCACCACATGGTATTTATCCATTTGCAGATTCCACAGTTGGTGTTTAAACAGTTGACGTTTAACCTCAGCAACGTGACTGAGCCTGCTGGTCATTTTCACATTGAGAGGGGCTGTTAGGACATCACACATTGCCACATACTACAAGCTCCATCAGTGGCCTGAGATCACGTCTTTTTTTTTTTGAGACAGAGCCTCAAGCTGTCCGCCTGGGTGGAGTACCGTGGCATTACAGCTCACAGCAACCTCCAACTCCTGGGCTCAAGCGAGTCTCTTGCCTCTGCCTCCCAAGTAGCTGGGACCACAGGCGCCCGCCACAACGCCTGGCTATTTTTTGGTTGCAGCCGTCATTGTTGTTTGGCGGGTCCGGGCTGGGGATTCGAACCCGCCACCTTAGGTGTACGTGGCTGGTGCCTTAGCCGGTTGAGCTATAGGTGCCGAGCCTGAGATCACGTCTTTAAGGAGATTAGGCTGCGTGACAGATAAGAGGCTTCAGCAAAGTCTCTAAGAGGGTAACTAAGGAAGCAAGTTCCAGTGCAGGGGTGGGCCAGCCAGATGCTTGGGGGTGGTTTCTGAGACTGACACAGAGAGGAGTGTTAGGCTTTGTTAGTGAGGGAAGCGGGGTCTAGAGCGGCCTTGGAATGAGGCCAGCACCACATGGTCAGCACATCCTGCTTTTGCTGTTGGTGGTCTGGGTCCTTATGTAAGAGGCATAAATGCTACTCAGTCCCCTAGTCTTGTTTTTAATTTTTTCAGGACAAGGAGGATAGGGATTTTTATCCTTGGGCTTTGATAAGGGTCCTTAGCGGTAGCTGAGGAGTCACATAGAGAGAGGACGAGGTGCAGGACAGAGTTCAGCTCTCTGTGCTGAAATCCCAGGGGGAGAGAGGTGATGCCACATCCCTGAAGACCAGAATTCAGGAGCAGAATCCTGCCCCACAGCCTGGTGGTTGTGGAAAGACTGTGAAAGAGCTTTGTGAGCTGTGTCAGAGCACTCATGCACTTCTGGACAAGGTGGCTCTCTTCAGCCTTGATGGAGTCACTTGCTCTGAGACCCTTCTGGAATTCTCACACCTCCAGACCAAAGGGCACTTTCTGAGTCCTCATGGTTATCAGTGCCAGATAAGGGAAGACAGATTGAAACCTCAGTGGGTGGGAGGTTGGGGTGGGAGGAAGTGAAGTGAAGCGAAGCAAATGGGCCTGAGATTGGCTGTGATCTGATGTTGTCAGAGCTGAGCAGAGCTTGGGGCTCGTCTTCTGTTTGTTATGTAATCAGAAAAACCCCTCTTTCTCCTCACTACCCACCCCCTTTCCCTGTCTCTTAGCAGGGACCTAAGGCCTCAGCAGCTACCATGGTCCTTGGAAATCACACCATGATATCCTCACCTGTAGGCCATGGTTGGGCTGGGCCTGTCCTGTCCCTGACACTAAGCACGTCTGGGGGATTTCCTGGGGCAGTGGAACAGGCCCAGTGGGCTGCCTCAATGCCTTGAGTTAGACTGGGCCTGCTGCACCTCCGTCCTGGTGGTGACCTGATGTCCCCACGGGACAGGACAGAATATACAGCTCAGGAGATGCTCACTCTGGCCAGCACACTGTGCAGGATGATAGACAGCCTGGAAAAGACCTTGACCTTGGTGTCAAGACCCCATCTCGTCTCCCAGGCTCTGCATTCCAGAGCCAATAGAAATTCCTATTCCCCCTTCCCCTAGTGGCCTTTCTAGGGTGCTTCTATTGCTGGGGCCCAGCAAGGTTCTTGGGATCAGTTCCCTTCTTCCGTAGAGTCAAGTATTCAGCCACCCAGAACATTCCATTACTTTTGGTACACAAAGGAGTGTGAAAAGCTACTGGATTTGGGCAAGTTAGAAACCCAACCCTTGGGGTTGTTTCTGTGCCTCTGCCAATGGTGGGAGTTCTTGTGGAGAGTCAAGTCAGTACCAGAGAGCTCCAGCTGGCAAGGTGCTGACCAAGTGGCCCCAGGCTCTCCACTCACGCTTTTGCATCTGGGAGCTATTCTATGTCTGTTTTACTGCCCATGGACTTAGCTCCATTCTTCCATAGTTGACTAGATAATTACCGGAGTATGAGAGACCTCTTGGGATTGGAACCCAGGCCTCTCAACTCCAAC